GACGAAGCAGTCCACCACGTTGGGACACGGCTCCCGCTCGCACTTGTACAGAGGCTGGAGCTTGGGCCCGTACAGCAGGTACTGGCCCGTCATGAAGCCCACCTCCACCACGGAGCGGGTCACCACATGCGCCAGATATGTGTGCAGCAGCGGGCCCCGGAGCGGAGCCTTGTTGAGCTTCCCCAGCTCCAGCTGCCGCAGCTCCCGCTCCACCCGCCGCCGAGCCTCCGCCAGCTCTGCCTCCATCGTCTCCAGCTCGCGCCGGAGAGCCACACGCTTGCAGTGACGCTCCTTCTCCAGGGCGCGCAGCTGGTAGATGGCGTGGCCCATGTAGACCAGCGAGGGCGAGGACACGAAGATGACCTGCAGGACCCAGTAGCGGATCAGGGAGACGGGGAAGGCGCGGTCGTAGCAGACGTTGCGGCAGCCGGGCTGCTCCGTGTTACAGATGAAGTCGGACTGCTCGTCGTTCCACACGTCCTCGGCCGCCACACCCAGCACCAGCATGCGGAAGATGAAGAGGATGGTGAGCCAGATCTTCCCCACCATAGTGGAGTGGATGTGAACCTCCTCCAGAATCCCTCCCAGAAAGTTCCAGTCGCCCATCCTCACACGGACATCACTGCTGCGGATGAGACAACTCAACCCATACACTTCTCACAAATCTCACAGACCAGAAATACTAAATGTGACCACAAAACCAGTCATAAGGGTAATTTAAAAAGCTGAGTAAATAATCTTTCCATTGATGTATGGTTTGTTAGGATAGGACAATATTTGGCTGAGATGCAACTATTTGAAAATCTGGAATCTGAGGGAGCAAAAAAATCTAAATATTGAGAAAATCATCTTTAAATGAAGTTCTTAGCAATGCATATTACTAATCAATAATTACGTTTTGATATATTTACGGTAGGAAATTTACAAAATATCTTCATGGAACATGATCTTTACTTAATATCCTAATGATTTTTGGCATAAAAGAAAAATGTATAATTTTGACCCATACAATGTATTGTTGGCTATTGCTACAAATATACCCCAGCGACTTAACACTGCTTTTGTGCTCCAGGGTCACACATAACTCAACACTCACCATTTGAGAAAGTTGCTCCTCTAAAAGATATAAAATCGCCGAACGAGGAAAAATTGTTAATCATGTCGACGGCATGATCAAAACGCATCGAACAATGATCTGAAAGAGGCGGCTGTTTTTCATTCGACCGAACGCTGTGGTTTGAGAAATCTAGGTCGCTGCTAACTTTATATCCCGGCAAAAGTAATCAATGCGATGTGTTGCTGTGCTTCTGTAAAGGCCTGCGGGTCAACTGGACGAGGAGACGGTCCTGATGTAGCGTGACTGCACTGATGAGATCACTTAACTCAGAGCAGTTATGCCCCCGGGTTCACAGACGAGGCTTAAGCCTAGTCCCAGACTAAAATGTAAGTCTGAGCTGTTTCAACTGAAAGAAACTTGAACGGATTGATCTTAAAATATATCAGTGCCTTTGTTTTGTCTCAAGATGGACACCAGTAATGTTTTTTTTCTAAGGCACGTTTATAAAAATGACTTAAATGTCCTAATTGAACTATGGCCTAATCCTGGTTTAGACTAAGCCGTCTGTGAAACCAGGCCTAGGTTTATTAATGACGTTGGGCTGTTGACTGAAGAGACTCGGGTTCTGCTGTTCCTCAAGCATGAGTGACCAACAGCGCTGTGAGTAACTAGCTCTCCGTCTGTCCATGCTTATTATAATTAAAGATCAATCGGTCATGTCCGATTTCATACATGAACTGCTCTCAGAATCCAATCAAGGTTTTCCCTCAAGCCGGTGTCCTATCGATGGCCAGAGCGCAGGGGCGGTGCTTCGGCATCTCTCGACCAATCAGGAGTCCCGTGAGGCGGTGGACTGTGGGATGGATTTCGGTGGCGTGTGAGCAGGTTCATTGATTTGGCAGCGGCTGCTCTCTTACACGCTAACGATGATTATCATCTAATGCTGAAGGGTCACAGGGTCAGGGCTAGATTTATTTGACACGTGTCATCAAAGAGCACTCGTGTAGAAAACACCTCAAAGCACAGGACAGAATGAAGTATCTGTGGCAGGTTTTCATGACAACACAATAAATTATAAGCAAGACTATAATCCCCATCATGTCGTTCCAAACCTGTAGAAGCCTTTCATCCATACAACACAAAAGATTATATTTTGACTTTCATATGTTGTATACAATTGTATATAGTACATGGTATGATGATTTTTTAAGGGAAAAACAAACATTTTTCAAAAAATCTTTTGTGCGACACTCCTACACTCTTATAAATCTGTGGCATCAATTTCCAACTACTTAAAGTTCTTTATAGTGGGGAAAGGTTCTTTGGATTTATTAATATAATCTTCACACCAAGACAAAAAGTGGTTGTTCTATGAACTGACCAATGAAAGATTCTTTAGGAACTAAAACCGTTTCTTCCGTGGCCTCACTGTGAAAACCCTCTTTTGGAACCTTTAGTTTAAAGAGTGAACAGATTTGGAAAAACATGAAGGTGAGTAAATGGCAATATTAGGGTGAACTCATTTTAAGTTTTGGAAACTCAATCAGAAGGCTAAAGTCACAACATGCGCAACAAGATTCCTTTGTAATGATTACTCCAAACCAAAACCACAAGCACACATTGTGCCAAATCAGCATCATATACTTCAAAATGATTAGGAATCCAGATCTGAGGATAAACTGGAAAATTAACAACATACTGATGCACAAGAAATTTATTTCATTCTGAGGTTACATGTAAAAGGCCTGCAGATTTCACGATAAAACACATCCGAGACACTCGTGGAAGACCGTTTTAAATGGATGGCCATTACTGATCAACTAAAACAAAAATCTCTTACAAAAATATTGAGGTGATTTTCATCTCTCATTCTGCGCAGCTGCGCTTGTAAACTAAACCACACAGACATCATCAATGCTAACACTGCAGCCGTTAGCAGATGCGTGTGCTAAAACAGGCGATGCTTTGATTGCCTCCTTATTAAAAGAAACAGACAGACGGCTGTCACTCGCAGACATTCACGCAAACGACAAAACCTAAACAGGTTTGTATGGACTCTAATGCCCCCAGGACTTGCGTCCGGCCCAGGAGCGGGATCTGGAGCGGGATCGGGATCTGGAGCGAGACGGGGAGCGCGTCTGCGTCTTCTCCTCAGCGGCGTCTGGACTCTCTGTGTGGAGCTGGCTGGTTTCCCGCGGGCTGCTGGACTTGGACCTGGAGCGCGACTGAGCTCCGCCCCTTCTCTTGGAGTGGGCGGGGCTTCGGCTACGGTCACGCGCAGACGGCCTGGGCCTGCGGGAGTCACATGACCGTTCAGAAGAGTTAGAATAGAGTCACATGACAGACACACAGACAAAGTGCATTAAGAGTTACATTTAAAAGAGTTACACAAGGGTCCTTCACTCTTTCCCCGCCAAACACGGAACGTTCTTGCTGTTATACGCTAGGGGGCGCTAATACACATCTCCTGAATGAGTCTAGAATCACTCGATCAAAAACACAGACGAGGAAGACGCAGAAACTAGCAATCTCATATGTAAGCATACGCATATGAAAAATAATGCGATCATCAACACTAAACCGCATATAAATGAAAACCGCTTAATGTTCCCGAGTGAAATGTGGATCCTGGAAGTGGTGAAGGCCTGTGAAGCTTTGGGAGCGCTGATGGAAGCCATCTACTGCATCTTTGCTTTGATAATATTACTGAATATGATCCAGATAGTGTTTGATAAAAATACGATTTTGCTCAAAATGTTGCTTTTTTTATGAAACCTACCTACATTCAAGTGTTGATAAAAAACAATGCTTGAAGCTAGAATAAAACAGATTTTTGTTTAAAAGTAGAGGCTCTGATCTTTATTTTGGTGTACTGCATGTTCAGATATTCATACAACAAAATATTCTGGGGGCCATGAAATTTTAGTGAAAATCATCAAAAACTCTGGCTGGCAACACTTTTCAAAAAGCGCTGGCGGGGAAAGAGTTAAACGACAAAAAAAGCAAAGTGATAAAAAAAAAAATGCTCATAAAATATAAATATAAAAATGCTTTCACTGATCCATTTCAAACCAACATCATCCTGATCATAACTACCAAAAATGTGTGCATTTTCAGGATTTCTATGTGGAATATTCAACTTTTGGTGACGTCCGGAAACATTTTCCACCATGAAGAACAGAGGAGAAACAACAACAAAAGTAACTTGAAATAACAATTCTAAAGAAATGAGACATCCACTACATTACACTGTTCTGAAATAGTTCAAACTGTTCTGTAACAGTGAAGCAAGAAATAGTAAGCATAGAAAACAACTTTCACTTTCTTTTTTAGAAAACAGAAAACAGGGCCCAATTTGGACATTTTCACTTAGGGGTGTACTCACTTTTGTGGCAGCGGTTTAGACATTAATGGCTGTGTGTTGAGTTATTTTGAGGGGACACTACTTTACATTGTAGCAAAGTGTAATTTCTTCAGTGTTGTCACATGAAAAGATATAAAATATTTACAAAAATGTGAGGGGTGTACTCACTTCTGTGAGATACTGTATTAAAAATATTTTATGACATGACATCCATATGCTACTTGACTAAAAATATTTTTTAATAAGTAGTTAATAGATTACACCAACATTAGGCTGCTTTTAGCCTTACTCTCTGGCTATGAAACCAAATAAATAATAAGCAGAATAATAACGTGTATCGGCGGGCTGATGATCGGATGATATGACTATGGAGCATATCGCCCAACACTAATGCGTATCGTGAAAAGCACAGTACGAGTGAACGCGAATTATGATGAGAGAAATGTCAGAATTTTTTTAGATTAGTTGTTTCCACTGTTCAAGTGGAAATTTTTTTTAAGTGATTGCGCCGGCGCCGCATGCGCGCACACAGTTAAGCATTTCTAACATGACAATGCAGCCTGTTCATTACCATAATACAATACAGTCAGTCAAACATACAGAAAAACACACTGCTCAGGTTAAATGTGTACAATCTGTGTCGTTAAGCGTTATCACCGCACCGCCGTGATGTTATGCAAAACATTTTGTTTGGATATTGCAACGCGAGTGAAGTACAAAACCAGGTTTACATAATAAATCATATTTTTGGCATTCAAATATATCACGAATAAGGAAACATTTGGATTTGTGTTGAATGAGAGACCCAACGTAGGTTTCAGTTTCACTTTAGCCTAAATTAATTCATTTTGGCTTGTTGTTTATAGCCTATATTTTTCATTCGTTCTTTTCTGAATACTGTTAAATTGAAAGGATTTGCTGTTGAGAGAGGGGAACTAAAATAGCCTAGCTATATTTATGTTTGTAAACGTTTCGCGTTTCATTAGGTCTATTTCTGAATCTAATAATAAAATGCGACTTAAACGACTTATTTTATATGCGTAGCATATTTTAACTATGTGGCAGACGTTTTAAAATACTTTGATAAATTGCTGCAAAAACGAAACAAACTATTAAATGACTTTTAAACGGTTTAACTGATTGTATTAAACGGTCAAGAATCCATTCCAGAGAGAATTGCCACGCATTCGGAAGATCGATCCACTTATCGATTCTGCATCGATATATCATTGCAGCCCTAGACACAATCGCTCCCAAACACACAGTCTCCTCTCAGACCGGGTCAGCACTCACTCTTGCGGTCTCCCTGAGCGAACTGGATCTCGATCTGCCGTCCACAGACCCACTTCCGGTCCAGATTGAGCAGAGCGTCCTCCGCGTCCCGGACATCCTCGAACTTGCTGTGCTGTTAAGGGCTCCAACCGAACGTGTTCATCTCACACACTCACACAGACACAGACACACACACACACACAGAGACACACAGAGACACACACACACACACACACACACACACACACACAGACAGAGACACAGACAGACACACAGACAGAGATACAGAGAGAGACAAGAGATATAGACACCAATAGGGCTGGGTAAAAAAATACTGATCTCGCGATTTCAATCGATTCTCATTTTTACGAAACGATATTGATTCTTAAATCCCAAGAATCGATTAGTCTGGCCTGAAGAAAACATCCAAAAGACACTGTTAAGTGTTTCTTTTATAGCACTTTATCTATTTGTGTCAATAGATTTTAATTTCAATACATATTTTTAAAGGCTGTTTTCTCAAAATGAGTTTTTTCTCCTACTCTGAGCTATAAATCTCCACTTCAGTAGCACTTACACCAAACTTTACATTTTTATTCCTGCTTGATTATATACATTTTATTCCCCCCAAAATTGTGAAAATATATTGTTTTCTGTCTGTTCCAAGTGTTTTCTGAATTATGGAGTGACAAAAATGAGATACCCAAAATTCCCTCTGAAAAACATTCGACTCTAATATGTCAAAAAAATTAAACAAGAATTTTGAAACTGACTTCATCCATAAATGCAGTTTTGGCACCGTTTAATGTGGAGTGATCGCTGTAGCACCTCAGTGAACTGATCATCTCCTCCGCTTTAATACTAGTTATAGCACAAAATAAACATGACTAAACGTCTGAAGGAAATTTAAAAGAAAGAGTACAACTTTACAATCCGTATCATGTCTCATGTAATCTCTCAATCAGTGTTTCAGCCGCGCAAAGACGTCAACATAACGACTTGTAAACAATGTAACATCACATTTACCTCAGAAAAACATATTTGGTGACCATAAACTCATTAGTCAGATAGAAAAATAAACCGTAGAGAGGGGCATTTTGCTAAATATATGCACCATATAACATATTCATTATAAATTTTACTGCTCTTCAATGTTTAATTTATGTTTGAATAAATCATAAAAGTTTTTTTGACAGACACCATTTAAATGTTTATATTTAAAAAAAATGAAAAAGTAGAAATATTATGATGTAACTGTAACATTATTATTATAAAAACGTAATTGAGTGTAATTTAAGCAGTTGTTTCCCCTGGGTTTACAGCTTTGTGTGTGTGTGGGGGGGGGGGCCCTGTTTAGGACCCTATGAAATGTTTTATTTTTACTCACCATACATATGTTTTATTGTTACCAAATTCTCTGTTTGAGCATGTCTAATCATTTGAATGCATAAAAACAACTTAATTTATTTAAATTTATTCTTAAAATAGCCTTATGAAATGTTTTTTTTCTTCTCAGAAATTCTGTGTTGTGTATTTACATTTTTCTGGTTATCAAATGAAGGCGTAATACATTCATTTCATTTATCTTTTAATTATTGAAAACTAAACAAACTATTTTTTTGGCAAACAAATGGGATTTACTATTAACAATAAAACATGTAAGAAATGTTGTGTGATTATTCCTTAAGTTAATAAGTTTAGTAGTAGTACTAATAGTATTAGAAGTATTATGCACATTCTACTGAACAATATATCTGTCACAGTGTCCTCAAGTTAAACCGAACTTTTATTTTGACGGGTTGCTGTGAATACCTTTAAATTTCTGTGCGATATGAGGCTAGTTTTACTCAAATGAAACGGTAAAATACTCATGAAGTGACTCTCAGAGCAGTTCTGGAGATGGTCAACATATTCTGTTACACCAAATACACAAAATAATGATCTTTAAAATAGCATCATATGACCCCTTTAAAACATGGAAGAAATGTTGTTTGATTATTACTTAAAAAAAATAAAGTTTTTTATTAGTAGTAGTATTATTAATAGCCTAGTAGTAGCAGTAATGCCACAGTGTCTTCAAGTTAAACCGAAGTTTTTTTGCCGTGAATACCTTTGCAGTTCTGTGTGTATATGACGCTAGTTTTACTCAAATGAAACGGTAAAATACTCATGAAGTGACTCTCAGAGCAGTTCTGGAGATGTTCGTGTATTTATGTCCTCATTTAGCGAGACGACAGTCGCTAATCTCTCCGCGAGCGTCACACGCTTCAGTATGCGTGTAGTAAACAAAACCACGCGTCTGCGCTCTTCATTAACATAAACACGCAGAACATGCAGGATTCATGTTTAAACAGTCTTTTTGTGGCTTAATATTTACAGATACTAGTCCATATTCAAGTGTAATCACCTACTTTTGATTAATTAATTTAAAGGGGTCATATGATGCGATTTCAATTGTTCCTTTCTCTTTGGAGTGTTACAAGCTCTTGGTGC